TTCTTGATATTCTTTCATCATCCGTGCATGCTCATTGCATGATGCAGTTGAAATTTTTTTTCAACCATGCACCTTCCCACGCGTCCATTCATTCATTTAGTTTACGTTTTGATTATTATTACTCTTAGACAAAAAGTACACCGCCTCACAACACAAAACAAATCATTAAGTGTTTAAAATCCAATAATAATTCATACAGTTTATTGTATTGAAAGCGCGTCCCTTTCATCGTTACCTCATTTTTTCCATTTCATTTTACTAGTTACCAATAACAAACGTATTCAAAACCTACAGTGAACTTCCTTAACGGTCAGTCTGTCATTACGACCTTTCAGAAAATCAATGCTGATAAGATATGCTGATATGCTGATAAATGGAGACGGCGGCTAACTACCTGAAAACTGAGGTGATCGATGCCTTTCAAGAATGTTTCAAGAATGTGTGCGACAATGGGCAGCTGCACTTCACCTTTGACCAGGACGCACTGCAGCTACTGAGATACAACATCGATCAGTTTGTGGCAGAGGTGAATGAAGCCATCAGATACGGCAAAATTTCCCCCGTCTAAAATGCCGGAGTTGGTACCAAGAATGGCCACATCAATGCACGTGTTCAATCTGACATGAATGAACTACTGGCCGGTGGTGATGCATCTCCTCTGCCCACAGAAATTTCCAAAAGTACTTTGGAAAATGCCACAGAATTCGTTCAACATCTGGAGAAACAGAAGGGCATTCTGTGTAAAGTAAGTAAAATTCTACAAATTTTGCCATCGTTTTGTTTTAACAATTATTAGTTACGCTGTTGGTGAAACACGAACTCCACTGCGCTCCGCTAAGCCAGCGGCAAAGACAGCTTAATCCCATGCATTTATTACTCACTGCATACCGCGTAAAGGGTTGAAACGTGTAACGCGCGTTCAGAGCGTTTGATATTTAGCTTTGCATGCTTTATTTAAGAAATAGAAAACATATTCCGTGTTCCTATCGAGTTATAGAAACAAGAGAGGAAGTTTGGGA